GAGGATGTAGACGAAAACTCCGGGCACTGATTACGGGTGAGACACGACAACAACAACAGTGACAACGACTGCAACAACCACCACAACAAACGACTACAACAACGCAAAAAACATGAACAACTACAAACGACAACAAACGACGACAAGGTAGCTCACCATCTTGGTCTCGATCTCCTCCCAGAGCGCCCCGCGCTGCCGGACGAGCCCCCGGCGCAACGCCTCGATACGGGGATCACTCGCCCTCGTCCTCCCTCCCTCCCCATCCGCCACCGTCGGAGACGAGCACGACGGCCGGTCCTGTCCCATGACACTGTCACCGCCCCCTCCCCCGCTATCGCTGTTGCTGCTGCTACTACTAGCATTGTTCCTGTTGTTGATGGCGACGAGGGTGTCTGCGGCGTGTAGGAAGGCGTCGTCTTCGAGGCGGTCGTCGAACGCGCTGAAGTGCCACTGGGTGCAGCAGAAGTGTGTGTGGAGGAGCTCCGCCGCGCCGTGGCAGATCTGGTCGCAATTTTTGTTAGATTGTTGTTGGTCGAGGTGTGTCGTTGGTCGTTGATGGCGATGGTGTGCGAGAGACATGAGAGAGAAAACCCGGCAGACAGACCGACAGACACAGCAGAACAAATAAAACACGTAGAGACAGAGATTCAGATGGACACAAAACATATAAAGGAAGGGATAAACGAACATGAAGGCCATGACAAGGGCGGGAGTGGGCCTGGGAGTGCACAAGAATGGAAGGCTGTGACATGGGTAACAAAGAAGGCATCCGACGTGAACCACGCCCCCCAAACACAGCCAACGCCTGTACGCTAGGCTCGAATCCGAAGGGGCCATGATACGCCACGTTTCCAACAACAACAACAACGACAACAACAACAACGACAAGCAACAACAAGCAACAACAACAACAACAACAACAACATTTACTTGCGCCAACACAACACAATGCCCACTCACCAAACCGAACATCCGGCACAGAGACAGCAGCAACTATCTGCACACGACGGCAACGCGCACACACACACACCTGCACGATGCCGTCCAACAGCTGCGGCGCCGGCAGAAACAGCGGCGGCGGCGGCTCGAACGCCCGTCGAGACCCCCTCCTTCTCCTCTCCGGGGCCTCCAGCCCCTGGTCCGCAACCAGCGCCTCGAAGATCGCGTCGGAGAGCAGGCGGTTGAACTCTTCCACGAAGCACGCGAGCACCTATCGAAAAAAAAAAGCCAGTCAGTCAGACGGCAGCACCAGCAGCCGGGAATAGATTCGGCAAAAAGTGCTGTTTAGTAGCTGGACGGAAGAAGAATAGGAGCCGAGGGGGCAGAAAAATCGAAAACCGGGCGAGGGCAGGAGGGGCATGAAAAACAATGCCTCTTGGGCTTGTTGGCACAATAATGGCCAAACTCTTCCCGCGAGACAACCGTAGGGGATTCAATAGGGGAGGGGGAAGGAACGAAAGCCACAGAACGAAAACATGATTCGAGGGCGGGGACAGGACAGCCAAACAAATCATGCGGAGCCGGCCTCCACATACATCTATTTGGGGGCCGATCCCATGAATACATGCAGAGCATGAATACCGCTAGGCGACGAGACGACATGCCGCGCGAACACACAACCCCCCTCGACATTCTGCGCCAAACACAACTCCCACCCCCCCACCGCTCACACGACAGTAAACGCTCCGCGACCTCCCCACCCCTTTAACAAAGTAGGAAGGAGCATTTGGCCATCGGTGATCGGTCAGTCCCGTGGGAACAGTGCTGCGTCCTCTCGAGGATGCGTGGTCAACGGTCTAACGACTACGGCATGCAACACATACGAGTACGCCCCCCCCCCCCCCCCCCCCCCCCCCCCCCCCCCCCCCCCCCCCCCCCCCCCCCCCCCCCC